TAAATCAGGCTGTGTATCTTAAATCAGTTGCATCCTAATGACTATCTGTAGTTCTTAGTGCATAGAAGCGACAGAAATTTAGATACTTTCAAAATCTAAGTATTTACAGTCCTCAGACATGTCCCAGGAAGTCAGTGTACCAAACCTTTGCTTACCTTTTCCAAACACTACACCTGGTCTAATTGCATGGTAGGCTAAGATCTGTCCTGACACCTCCTTTTCAATTATTTCCTGCCTCTTCAAATATAGTATTTCTCAGAAGTTATTTAATTGTTACCAGAATGACCCCAGATTTATTCCTCTTTAAGAACAGAGTATCATAGAAATATAGAATATTCTGAGTTGGAAGGGATCCACAAGGATCATGAAAATCCAACCCTTGACCCTGCATAAGACATCCCCAGGAATCATACCAAGCACTTCTTGAATTCTGTCAGGTTTGGTGATGTGACCACTTCCCAAGTGGGAGCAATACAAATTGAACTGCCATCACCACAGTGAAGCGCTCAGCTACCCTCTGGGTAAATAACCTTTTCCTAACATCCAGCCTAAACCTGCCCTGACACAGCTTCTACACCATTGCCTCATATAAGAGCTAAGATTTTCTTAGTTTCATAAAGGAAACATAGCTCTTTAACTTTGACAAATGTACAGAGAACAAACGATTTTACAGAATTATGCCCTTTGTACTAAATGAAGAATCAGCCCTGCAAGATATATTTAGGCATGAAGTGATTTGCCCTATATAAAGCAGCCTGCAGCACATGTTCTCTTTGGTAGTGACAAACAAATGTCACCCAGAGCAAGAACTCTCTAAAACCTCACTAACAATGGATTCCACCTCCTCCTCTGTGTCTTGGGGAGGCTGAATCCAGAAACATGATTTATCTCCCTGACAGAACAGGGCTCTGGGCTGGGATTCCATACAACTTATCACCAGGATATTAGGGAATCCCTAGGGAATTGCCACTGCACCATATCATACTCCAAACAGAAGATGCCCAGATAGATAGACAGACAAGCAAATTCCTCACACCACTCTCTGAAGCAAAATCAAAAGAAGAGCGTTATTATCCCATAAGTTACAAATGCCTAATAGGAAAAATTCTTGCAATACACTGAGTCCACATGCAGAGGTGACTTAGCCAGTGGTGCACTTTTTAAGGAAAATGAGGTAATTCTAGTATTATTTGCTTGAATTTAAAAAAAAAATGGAGAATTTTCTTCTGCACCTTAAGCAATGGCAAGTCAGATACATAAAATTACTTCTCTAGGCCTTCCTACTGAAACAATGATCTGATACACCTGACAACATTCATTTGCAACTTTGGACTGTGTGACCAAGTGTTATTTATCTAGTGTATCTCACAAAGTGCTGCAGTACATACAATTTAGATATTGCAGTCTAAAATACAAAAACAAGCTTCAAAGACAACATTCCTTCCATATTGTTAGAGACTGGGTATGAATAGTTACTGCTGCTTTGCAGATTTTGCACAACAGCTCTTTTTATATGACTTTACAAATTCAGGTTATTTTCATTAGTCTTACTATCAAAGTGAGGACAGATTATAAAGCTCCTCAGCAAGATGCAAAGAGGATCCAAAGAAAATACCAATGCCATTTAGAAGGGAACTGCCTTAGTGAAGATTCCTTTCTTTTTCTTCCCGGTGAAGGACTGAAGAGTGCAAAATAGTTCATGTTTTCAAAGGCTATTGTTTGCAGTGTCTGAAAAGAGTGGTTGGAGGAGATGAGGTGAAGGTTGTACAATTTTTATCTGCTATGTGCATTTGGGATGTGAGAAATATCATGTGATATAATGGAAGTACTGGGTGGGGTTCAAAAAGGAAAATCGGGCATTTCTCTACTGTTTGGTAAAGCTCAGTAGCACAGACCTCCTTTGAATATCTGCCAAAAAAATAAACAGGAGATAGGTCATAAAGGCTTCATGTCCCCGAATAAATTCCTTACAATAGTAGTTATAGAACAAGAAAAAAGTTTTCATCTGTAATTTCCTGCTGCTAAAGTTTTAATTTGCAGCTACATGAACGTCTTCTGCTTTATTCTGGCAGCATTTAAGTAAAAATGCACACTCTGATCTTACTTGAGATCAAATTATTTTAAATCATGAGGACAAAAGCAGTCCCAAACGAGATTTATTGCCATTTCTCAAAATGCTGAATGTACAAAGGGTATGAAAATGTCTTTACTTCTAGAAGGTTGAAATCTGAATAGCATTGACATACGGTTTAAAGGATTTTAAAAAAATCCTGTTATCTCCATTGTACAGATGGGAAATTGAGGCAGAGAAAGGATAAAAACTTGCCAAAGGTCAAATAAGAAATCTCTTCAGATACAACTTTTCTCTCTAGCATATCTCAGTATAAGTTTATAGTCACCTAAGAAAGAAATGTAGTAATGCACATAACATACTTCATCCTGGACATCTTTCTCTTATCATTATTTCTAAAATAAGTTCAAACCAACACTGTCAATCTCCTCTGAACAGAGTTTACTGGTGGACTTGTCAGTGCTGCATGAACAATTGGACTTGATAATCTTAAAGGTCTTTTTCAACCTAAAGGATTTTTTGTTTTTATATGTTTGTGAAGGACAGTGTAAAAGGATGCATGCACCAATTAATGAAAGCAGAGTCCATCACAAAGCTGTCTGGACTATTTTTGAAAGGTTTGAAAGTTAAATTAAATCCTCCTGCCTCAGAAGCTGTCATTGCAAAGGAAAACTGTGTGATTGATCTGGTACCACACACAGTTTACAGCATAATGGACATTACGGAGCATATTGAACGTAATAGACATGGGTTCCTTTAATTACAGTGTTTTAAAGCAGGGAGACTTCTTTCTATCGCTATCTAGACTTGCAGCAGAGCAACTCAGCAAGGAGCCAAGGAGAATCAAGTCCTTGTGCTGCAGGAAGATGGTGACACACTTTAGTGCTGACTTGACAACAGGAAAATTGCAGTATTCATACATGATAAATCACATGCATTGAGCTGAGTGAACAGCTTGCAGTCAGCACTTCCCTGTGAGCAGTGAAGTGAACCAGGACCACAGTGTGAAGCATCTGCTCACAGTCTTCCAAGCTTACCAATGATCTCAGCATTTGCACTCTTCTGATGAATAAGGAATGCCAAATGACTATTTTAGAGGTGGTTAGAAGACTGGAAGAGGTGAATTGTTTTGGCAGTATCTAAGGTCAGAGAGCAGGAAGATGCTTTCAAGGATCTTTAAGGAAACATTTTCCTCCAGCCCTAGACAGCAAGTGCCTCTTACTACTCATACAAATAAACTAAGAGCCAGATTTGGTTCAACAGTTTCTCTAGCTTTCATCACAGTCAGATTCATGCTTGACTCCTGCCTCAGCAATGCCAGTTTCTCTAGGTACGCACCCCAGTGGTTACATCCCTCTTTCCCAGAGGTGGCTCTTACCAGTCCTTATTCAACAAGAAAAATAACTGTCTATGTGAGAATTAATTACACAGCCTCCATTAATTATTTACCTGTTGTGAAAGGAGCTACAATCAAAAAAAAGAAACTGGGTTTACTGCTGATTCTCTTATGTTCTTATCCCAGATAGGGAGAAGGATTGCTTTGAAATTACCTCAGTGTTTTGCTCATACTGAAGGGGTTTTTTTAGCTAAGAACTCATTCTTTAAGAGGTGAACTTGTCCAAGAAAAAGTCTCTGCAACCTAACTTTCAACAAAGCTGACTTTAATAGTTCCCCAAGATAGTAATGCTTAGATGTTATCCCTATACTTTGTTATCCCAAAAGTCCAACCTTCCCCTAATAAACATGCATTGTGAGGATACTACTGAAGAAACAGGTTGCACGTTACTCAGCCGTGCTGAGGTACTAGAACTAGCATATTGCTTTAAAAGCACTATGAAGGTGAAAAATTATTCATAACAGTTTCTTAGAACACACACTTTGTGTCATGATGAAGCAGGTACTGAATGTCTACTCTGGCTTTTTATAATATTAATATGCACCTGATAACATGAAAAGTCTCTGCTTTGCCTAAGTCCTGCCTTATCACTCACAGCATATTTTAGAGAGCTAGCATGCAAATATTTTAAAATTTAAAAAAAAAGGTAAATAACACTGGACACATTTAGAATTTAATTTGTTCTAAAATCTCTCCACAACCACACACGCAAGATACAGAATGCCACCTCTTTCTAGCAGCAGTTAAAGGCATGTAGAACATCCTGGCAGCACCTAGCATTTTACAGAATAAGGCACTGGATAGCAAAAGAAAAAAAGCATTTTGAACGTCAGTGAAACACAGTCATCTCTAAACTAGACCATGTTTGTTGTTTCACAGAGCACACCAAGTCTGTTTAACAGTTTGCAGTAGAAAAGACAGATACTCAATGCACAGCCTCCAAAAGTATTTTAAGTCAGCAAGATACAATGGTGAAGACCAGAATGTGATCAGACTATCACCTCACCATATTCTCCTGACATGTAAAGTTAAAACTTATCTCCTATTATTGTACACAGTCAGATTTCAGTGTTGTGCTTCTTGCTGAATAAAATTTCCAGAATGAATAAAGTTTCCAGAATGTTTCATGTCTCAGGTACACCCTGGTGTTGTTTCTCAGGCCCTCTATTCACCAGGCCCACAGATGATAGAAGTGTCTGTTGTTCTGCAGAACCCCTGTAAAAACAGAGATAATTCCAAGGCCTGCACAGAAGCAAGTCCATTTGCCAGAAGCCTTTGAAATTTCTCAAGTCACTGGGTATTGCACAATACACATTCACTGTCTTCACTGACAATAAGTCTGGATTTTCTTAAAGGCTCAAAATGTATGTAGAAAAGGAAACAAATGTAGTAACAGTGCACTGGTATGTTGCTGCCTATGTGGTAAATTTCTGTCATTGGAGCAAAAATTTCTGGTTTCATTGTTGGCATTAGGATGGCCAGTAAACTCTCCTTCCAACTAAAGAAAACAAATTGCCTTGAAAAAACACATACCTAGTACATTAGCCGTACACTGGAGAATTCCTGAGACATCTTCAGTTTCTTCATTGCCAGAGCAGTCTGTATAGGAGCATCTGTTTGATATATTGTGAAAATTCTTCTCTGCATCTCTGTAACTACTAAAAAAAAAAAAAAAAAAAAAAAAAAAAAGTTTTAACTACTCCTTATGCAAATCAAATACAAAGTCAACAAATGTCTTTAATGTCTTTCAGAAGTGGTGGCAAAGGATTAAGACCTCCCAATGATGGGCAATTAAAATATCCAGCTGGAGAGAGTGCTGAGCCATCTTGTCTAAAGAAAGGTTGGACTAGATGAACTTTGAGGTCCCTTTCCAACCTGATAGTCTATGACTGAAAAATATTCGCTTTTTAAAAGAAACATTACAGTTCATTAAAAGTCGTCATCTGATGGGATTGTACAGAAGCAGGACTGAACAGCAGTTTACCACTTACATCCAGATTAGGTATTGCTATTCCAAAGCTTCTCTAAGAATTTGAGAGAAAAAATTAAAATCTAAATTAAAAAGCTTATCATGTAAGGCTGTGAATTGGAAAGCACAGAGCAAAACATTACCATGCACCTTTGGCCACCTCACATTAACACTTACCCAATAACTTGATGCTCAAAATACTGCAGGGTCTTTTGAAGAGTCTGCCGAATGGTCTGAGGCTATGGAAGAATAATTTTAAAAATTGTGAGATTAGGGAATTGTAGCGCAGTTCAATTAACAGATCTTTTAACGCACTATTTTTCTCCGGTTTTACTCCTCTTTATCTTCCACCAGCCATATGCCCATCGCAACAACAGATATGAAATATTATTATTCATTCCTTGTATCTTACTTTACTATTAAAATAGGAAGAATTTTACAGTGTGGCATAATTAATATTGCTCGTAAGGCTAGTTGCACATAACAAAGAAGCCACTTCACTCTCAAAAAAAGCTCTCAAAAACTATCACCCGCCAACTATCTCACTAATTTAAAATAATTAATTTGAAATAGTCTGCAAGAAAATGCCATTATTTTGTGATGAAAGTATCACCAGGAAAAGGCATTGAGTTTTTAAACTCTATATGCTCCCTACAGCATTTTCTAATACAGAATATTACAAAGATGCAATTTATTTTGCCTTATTTTCCTGACAAGCTATAACTCTTCAGTCATCTTTCAGATTACTAGGAAAATCAAGTTCATCAAAAGAAAATCATTACATGCTTCAAGCATTTCTATGCTATTTCACTTTAATAGCTGTTCACCAAACTACACATGTGCATAATTTTCTTTATTTGCATTATTACCTCTACTATGGTGTTCACCAAAATACTTATGTATATAAATGTTTATTTTCTTACTATTATTGCTGCTATGGCTATTATTATTTCAAATGAATTCATGAGAGATCTTTGGGCAAATAAAGGACATGTGATATCCATGTAATTTTCTCTTCTGAATTTTCCAAGTCACTTACGGCAAAATGTTATTCTTCCAAAATTACTAGTTTGCATCAAATCTGAGGTTCTTCACCTGTCTGTTTTGACCTGGTGCCAGAAGTCAGACAGAGATCACAAATGAGATTTATAAGCTTTTCTTCTGTATCAAAAGCACACATGGACATTTTGATCAGACTCACAACAACATACGTTGAAATTTTAGAAATGTTTGGTCTTTCCCTGCCTTTTGGAATAGACATCTAAATGTTTTAGAAAGTAATAGTCAAAATGCCCCTTAATTGGAAGATTTTAATTCTAAAACCACAATCACCTTTGAAAGTCTCAAATTTTGCTTACCAGCCTACAGATTCAGCAGTTCAAGAGCTGAGCTTTCTACCTTGCTCAAGCTCTTGCTCATGAGTTTGCAGGAGTCATCTGTCCTGATGACAGCAGAAAGAAAAACTGTATACCAGGCTACACTAGGTTTGTATGACTGCAAAAAAATGATTTTCTAATACCAAACTAGAAGAAAGCATCTACACTTTTGAATTAAAAAATTAAATTAATTAAATAAAATTGCAAAAAATTGAAATTTAAATGCAAGGACTCAACAAAAGCATAAGTATAGCCCAAACTTGTTAGCAGGGCCTGTTGCAGTAGGGCAAGGGCAATGCTTTAAAACTAGAAGATGTTAGAATTAGACTAGATTTAAGGAAGAAGATTTTTATAGCAAGGGTGGTGAAACACTGGAACAGGTTGTCCAGAGAAGTGGCAGGGAAGCCATTCCTGGAAATATTCAAGGTCAAGTTGAATGGGGCTCTCTCTGGGCAACCTGATTTAGCTGAAGATGCCCCTGCTCACTCCAGAGAAACTGGACTAGAGGACCTTTAAAGGTCCCTTCCAACCCAAATGATTCTATGAGCCTATGAACAAAAAATAAGCTCAACATAGATGCAAACCTTGAAAGAGGTTTTTCTTGTTCACTCTGTATCAGGTAATCACTTTACTTCTCTGCAGGAGCTAAGTTACATGTGCCAAAAGGCTTTAAACATTGCATGTTCTCTTGTAAAACACAATGGAAGCACCATATGAGTGAAACCATCACATATCAAAAAAACATCCTCTCAAAAAAACATACAGCAGGTCTTGAAGTCTTTAGGCCTAATGGCTACAAATATATTTAAAGGCATGTTCTCACAGAAACCCAGAAGCCTTCCTGTGCTCAGCAGGCAGAAAAACCCACTCTTTACATACAGAAGAGATGTATTTTCTCACACCAGAACAAAGCAAAGCAGAATAGCTTTAAGCAAAGAAGTGAGAGCTGCCATTTCCCATCTTCATACAGCATTTCCCTCAGCCCCACTCCCTACACACAGAACATCAGTACTCCACAGGCAACTCCTCTGACATGAAATAGGGAATAATAGAAATGTTTGATTGCTAAATTAAATCTCCATTCTGGTTGTACCAAAGTGCTTTTACAGCAAGCATATGGAATGCAGCAATGCTTGATATCACAGCAGAAGAAGAAAAGCAGCTTTTTGTCTTTTCAAGAAGTTTTTCAGCTTAGAATACCTGAGCAATCATCCACAGATTGTCTTTGTCCTTCTCATGCCCGGCACACATACTGCACTCCTTAACCAGGGAAAAACCATTTTAACCACCCCAAGATTTGACAATACAAGCCATCTCCTAGTCCTGAACTTATTTCATTGGAAATCATCCCTTCTCCTGCAGTGCTGAATGGAAAAAAAAAAAATATCCCACGTTAACTTTCTCTCCTGAAAGCTAAATCAGTTGCCTAGACATTGTCAGATAATTCTAAACAGCCCCATGAACTCACACCGCTCTTCCCTGGCAACTCCTATAAAATCTTAGAAATAAAATACAGATTAAAGTAGGATTTAGTATTAAAACACAGGTCATAAACAGGGCTCGATACAATTTTCTCAGAGCCAGAATGAAAACTGATCCAAAGAGTCACAAAGTCTTTCTTCATCTCTGACAAGAATTATTATGGCATGTTGCTGTGCGTTGTTAAAAAGCCACTATGCTCACCTTCTCAGTTTGCTACATTTCATCACTGGTGAATGTCATTTTGCTGCAGATGTCATTCTGTAACCAGGGCCATGTCTAAACAAAACAGTGAGAAGAGATATGACACCTGTTTACAGCTGCCTGCAAGGGCAGTTTGGTGCACTGCTTCTCCCACTACAGATATTGCCCATGAGACAGGGAATGAGCAGGAAAACATTTCCACCTCTTTTCTGAATCCAGTACCAAGACTGGATGGAGGCAAAATAGCTAAACCTTCTTCTAGCAGCATGGCACATATGACCTCTCCCAGAAGCAAAATTCTACCACTCAAGGAGGTAAAAGACAGCCTTTAACGACACACCTCCTCCACTGTAATGCCATTTGTTCTCAGTGCCATTTATTTACTGAAGAGATTGTAAAGCTTCATGGCTACTTAAAATTAAAAGATTTAATGTATATGTAAACCAGTGACTATTACCTAAACAATTAAATGTCAACTACTCCTTTTGGTTTTGATGATTGATTACTATTTGTATGCATCACAAGAGGAACAGTCACATCAGTTCATGTGCCTAAGGAAAAATCAAAGTAAAACAAATTATTGTTACTCCTAACTGTAAATAATTCCAAGCATTGCCATACCAGATCACATCCAAGCTCCATATGGAATGATGATACATAAGGTATACGGGAACACTGGAGATACTCAGACTGATCTCTTGCATGCCAGAGAATAGAGGACTAAAATAACTCCAAATTCAGACATCAGGCCATGGCTAACCCTAATGTGTCAGAATATTGTCAGAAATTTGTAAAAAAATGACTGAATCAATGAGTCACATAGGTTTGAGAGGACCTCTGGAGGTCTTTTAGACCAGCATCCTACTCAAAGTAATTTGAGTTATAACTGGTTGCTCAGGTCATTCTTCAGACAAGTTTTGAGTGTCTCCAAGGATGACAATGCCACAACCTCCCTGGGAAACCTGTGCTAGCACCTGAACACCCTCATGATATCTCATTTCTTTTCATAATTCTGATCTTAAACTCCCAACTTTCAGCTTTTTTGCCTCTCATCCTTCTTCCACGCTGTACCCCCATCGAAAGCCCGGTTCCATCTTCCCTACACACCCTGCTCAAGTTTAGCTGTAGACTGCATCTTTCTGCTCTTTTCTTCAGAGAATGAACCCCCTTTGCCAGTAAACATCATTTAAAGACCCCTTCACAAGGCTGTGCAGCCAATCAGAGATGACCTCAGCTCACTTTGTCAGATCCTTGCTCAGCAGTCCTTGCCCCTCAGAGCATACCCCATGTGCATGGAGATCACAGCCCTGCCAGCAACACCACCAACACAGCCACAGACCACATATCAGGTGTACCTGCACCAACCAGAGCCGTCCCCCCTCCAGCAGCAGGATTGAGGAGACCCCAGCTGGGTCCTCACACCCTTCACCCTTGCACTCAGAGCTGTGTAGTCACTCCTGACATGCTCAAGGTCTCCCCTGGCTCCATCACTGTGCCCACATGGATGAGCAGCAGTGGTCATAGTCCAAGAGATAATTAAGCTTTGGCAGCCTCTTTTCAACGCTTATGTGCGAGCCCTTGGCAAGCAGCAAGCCTCCTGTGACAGCACGGCAGGCTGGCACATGAGGGCTTCTGTCTCCTCAGGAGAGAGCTTCTGATACCTGCCTCCTCTTCTGGAAGCTTCTAGGGTTGAGGCTAAGCTGGATCTGCTGCCCCATCCGAAGGGAGGGAGATCATCTCTCCCACCTCTTCACAGGGCATTTTACCTTCTCTGTACCTGATGAATCACAGGTGGAATAAGGGCCTTAGTTATGTCAGGTTATGGCAGCAGTAACCAATCCTTCTCCAGCCTTCTCCATCTTGAAAGTTTCAACCCTCGACTCTCAAAGCTTATCTCTATTTTTCTCTTCCTTCCTTTCAACATGGAGCTCAGGTCCTTAGCTCTGCAGGGCCTCTGGAAAGATCTGTCCATCCTCCCTGAAGTGTACAGCCTGACTATCATCTACACAGCTCTTCCCCCTGGCACCTCATTGCTCTCTGACCAGAGTGCCCAGCTTTTGGCAGCACCAGGCAGCAATCCCAGCAGTGGCAGCCCTGCCATCACAGCCACTATTGCTCTGCCAGCCACCACTGCTTACAAGATGCACTCCTAGAGAAATGCGCCCTTCCTGCCAGATCTCATCCTGCTCTCCAGCAGAACT